ACTATTGGATTGCATGTTGTCCTGAAATTCTCACACCATCACACAGATCTGGACACAGCTGATCTGACCATCCTACTGCTTTTTCCATAAAACAGTTCAAATACACCAAGATCCAACAATTCATTGGCAGCTACTCTGTTCATGCTAGTGTGTGCAAACAGACTGCTGCATGGAAGGGACTCTTGAAACAGCTGGCAGTGGTCCTGGCAATAGTACATGCCAAAGGAGTTTCCTGGGCTGAGTGCTTACTCCTATCAGCAGCAGTCTAATATGCAGCTACTTTTGCCCCTGCAGTTCCTCATAGTTGCAGAGCTCTGTCTGTTTTATATCTGCAGATACTCTAGTCCGTGAAGATAAATTTTGAATCCATACAGGGTTCTAGCCATGGTCATACTTTTTCCCTGGTGGTGGTGAAGAGCTTTAGATGTCTTACAAGCCCAGACAAGCCCACTATGAACTTGACTGACTTGCACAACACTCTGTGTAGTGTTTTTGAAATAATTCCTATCTGAAGTACATCTTCTTGAATTTGTTTCTATCTTGATTTAAAAATCTCTAGTGATGAAGATTGTGTGACAGCTGTTGGTAAGTTCTAATTGGTAATAGTCTTCACTTAAAGAGTTTGTACCTTATTTCTAGTATAAATTTATCTAATTTCAACCTTCACTTGCTAGAACTTGTACCTTTTTGTCTACTAAGCTCACTAACTTCCCATTATCAAGTTAGTTCCCCATAAGGTTGCTTAGAATATGATCAAATATCCTCCTCTTCTCTCTGATCAACTAAATAGGTTTAAGGAGCTTGCTTAGTCTAAAGCATATTTTTCAGTCCTTTAAGTATTCTCCTGGTTTTCTGAGCCCTCTCCAATTTATCTTTCTTGAATTATCAACATGCTACTAGACTACTGCATTTAATTCTAGTCACACAAGTGCTACATGCACATAATCTTCTCCCACTCAATATTCCCCTGTTTATGTAGCCAAGGTTCACATTAGTTCTTTTGACCACAGTGTCACAATGAGAACTTGCATCCATTCTGACATCCAAGTCTCTTTCAGCCATTGTTTTCCTGAATAGAATCCTTCATCCTATTTGCCTGTGTTCTTTGTTTCTGGATGTATGACTTTGTTTGCTTGTGCCAAGCTTACTGTGCAGTTTGCATTGCTCTGTACTGGTGATGTGTCCTCTTATTTGGCTATTACTCCTCCAGTTTTTGTATCCTCTGAAAACTTGATCACTAATGATTATTTCATTTCCAACTTTAATGCTAAATAGAATAGAGCCCAGAACCACTCCCTCTGGGACTTCACTGGAAATGAAGGGTCTCAAGATGTACATGGGAAATCAATCTGTTAGCTAGTTTTACTCCTTTTTAATTAGGGATGTAAATGAGTAGTTGAGTATACGATTAATGGAGAAGCCTAGGTTTATTGGTTAATCTTCTGGACTACTCACACTTCCACCCCACCCTTGTCTTGCTGCCTCTGATACAGAGCAAAGGGAGTGGGGGGAAGAAGGAGCGGGCGCTAGGAGGAGCCGGCTTAAAAGCTGGTTTCCCCCCAGCACCAGCTCTGTGGTGCCACCTGCCCCCTGCTGCAGAGGCAGCAGTGTTGGGGGGCCGGGGCGGGAGGGAACAGGGGAGGCTGCTGTGAAGTGAGCCTGCTTCATGTCAGCAGTCCCTGTCCATGGGGGGGCAGGTCCCAGCTCCTCACAGATGGAGGCTGGAACAGCCTCTGGGAACCCCCCACCCCCCACGGACAGGGGCTGCTGCCATGAAGCAGGCTTCTCCCCCACACCCACAGCAGCTTCTGTCCATGGGAAACAGGGAGCCCACGCAGGCAGGGGCTGCTGCCATGAAGTAGCCTCTGGCAGGCTCCTCCCCCACCCCCACAGCAGTCTCTGTCCTTGGGGAGCTCAGAGCCCCGCAGACAGGGTCTGCTGCCACCCTGTGCTGCTGCCTCTGTATCAGAAGTGGGTTGTGCCCATGAAAGCTCATGATACATGTTTTGTTAGTGTCTGTTGTATCATGCAAGCAAGGTAGTAACAAACTTCAACAGGCCTTTATTTAACAAAGGTGAAACTTCTGAACAAAGCTGCTGCTGCTCCCTTCTGTAGCTCTCACTCAGGCCTGGCCTATCTCCTTCCTGTTTCCTGTGCTTCCAGATTCCCAACAGCCAGTGCTCCCAGTTCTAATAATTACAAGCAGCATCTAAAACACCACAGTGTCTAAGGTGCTACTAGACTATTTAAGTTTTTCTTAAAGGGACAGTGTGTCTCTCTCACTTTCTGTGTGTGTGTTTGCCCTGTTGCCACTTTGGAAAGATGTTGCCTGTGTAGCCATGCACAAGCTGTACAGGAGAGCATGGTGCTTTCCAGTGGGATGGTGTAGCTTAATCATCTTGTTCAGTTTCTGCAGTGAAGTGTTTTCAGTGCATCTATTGTTTCCTCCCTCCTGCCTCAGTCTATGCTGCCTTGGAGAGTGTGAAGCTACTAACTACAGTGTGTTAACACTGGAAGGCTCAGCCAAATGCTAGTTGATCATTTTTGTACCAAGACCGTCTCTGGGAAATATTCCACCATCTCAACCAAATTTTGCAATCATCGTCGCTGTGTGCAGTATTAAATTGTTTTAAATGTATACTGCATATGTATATACTAACTTGTCCACTGAAAAAATTTCCCTGGAACCTAAACCCCTTCTCTCCCCCTCCCCTCCCAATTACATTTATTCTTATGGGGAAATTGGATTCACTTAACAGCATTTCACTTAAAGTAACATTTTTCATGCACATAACTACAGTGTTAAGCAAGGAGTTATACTGTATAATCTTTATTACTTCCTGGGGTTCTCAGTGCAGAGTTTCCACAACAGCTTCTCCAATGAGCAAACCCAAACCTTGGGAATTGGTTGTCCCTTCCTAACCTGTTTCGTAGGAGCAAACATAGATGGACACACAACATTTAGGCCACAAAGCCTGGAAGCACAGGGCCATCAAAACCAGGGAGGTCAGGGCAGCAATGTCCTGTCCACAGTCCAGTTGTATAAGTGCCCACCCACTTTCTAACTTAGGCAAAGTAACCTCCAGCAGATGTGGAGCAGTGGCAGCAGGAGCTGCACTTTCCAATCGTGTAATGAGCTCCCCTGCCAGGCTGTAAAGCACAGTCCCTGTTAGCGGCAAGAGCCTCTTCCTGGGGAGGGTCAGCAAGTGGGCCTTAGCCCTCACTCTGGGGCTCAGCCCCCTGCTCTTCCTCTTCCTCCAAGGCCCTGCACCTGACCAAATTGGAAGCTGATTTGGGCCATAATGAGTCACCCAAGAAGCCAGGTCTCTGTAGGAAATCCCAGACCCATGCATCTGCCCTGGGCAGCATGTTACAGGGGTTGGGGAGCCATCTTTCAGTATAGGAGTTGACTTTGTGAGGTGAAATTAATGAGAGATCTAGTGCCTGTCAATATCTGATGTCTTTTGCAAAAGACAGTGACTGAACTAACCGAGCCACTGCTTGTACTACAAGTTAAACCTTTCTGGTCTGGCAATATCTATGGTCCAGCATGATTTTAGTTAGCCAGATGTCTGATTATTGTGGATGTGGCCAAGTTTTTCATGGTCCCATAAAGTTTGTTTAGTCACCAATCCTGGCTATCAGTGTTCTGTGATATTATTTATAATATCTACTTTACCCCTAAATGTCTAAGAGCCCAGTAAGCAGTGGAAATGTTGGTAATGCTGCTAGACAATATTGATCTCTTGTGGTTTGGAAATTCACTGGTTCAACACCAGTCAGGTCCCAAGGGTGTGGACAAGATAGAGAGATTCAGCCTATATATTACATGGACATAAACTGAATCAATGTGTGCACTAATGCAATGAAAGAACATGCAAGACCAATCACTGTGTACAGTAGACTTTTTTCACATCCAGTCAATTAAGAAAGTAAAAACTAGTTCAATTTCTATTTGTTTCAAAATAGATATGTTCCCACAAAACATTTTGCTATTTTGGCAAAACACCATTTTCCAATTCAATTATTTTGTTTTGTTGTTGTTGTTTTTTTTTTTTTTTTACCGTCTCCTAAACTGAACTTAATGGGTCTAAAAACTTACCAAATTGTATTCTTTTGTCTGGTATACTTTTATTTTTTTTTAAATGGGAGAAAGGTACCACAACTAACTTGTCAAGAGCAATACCTGCTGTAGCTTTTCACATCCCGTCTCATATGGCAGTTTCCCAATGTACCAGTTAGTGATATCAGGCACTTCCTGAGGGGTAAATAGCTTGTCAAACAATTATAGCAATGAAAAAGGGTTAAACTCAATGCACTATGAAATTATCTTCTGTCAGATGGTTAAGGTTTAATGTAAATAAAGTTGTAAGCAGAGTTCCTTGTAAGCTGTGTGCTCAGGAGAAATTCAGATGCTACCCACCTGATTAGCAGAGTGCTCACAGCTAAGTTTTTGTGGGGTTTTTTTGTTTGTTTTTTTGTTTCTGTTGGTGGTGTACATTTGCACTTGCTTCAGTGCACATAAAAATTATTCTGCATCTGGATGGAGGAAATATTGGTCCTAACTTTAATTATATTTATAGTAACTACACTATATAATGGAAAAAATACAGAAAAGGACACCTAGCTCATATGGAAAAAGTACAGGTGTCAAGACCTAATCAGAACACAGTGGCTACGTCTGGACTGGATCCCTCTGTTGGCAGAGGAATGCAAATCAAGCACTTTGAAAGTGCAAATGAGCCCGGGATTTAAATATCCCGGGCTTCATTTGCATAGTCACGTTCAGTTGCCCTTGTGAAAGTAAAGTCTAGCTGTGGTTCTGCCGACCAGCAGGAAACTTTTTCGGTAGATCCTCTATTACTCAACTTTACTTTCACTTTCGAAAGGGCTTGTGATCGGCATAGCGCCCGAACATGAGTATGCAAATGAAGCCTGGGATATTTTAATACCGAGCTCATTTGCACTTTCAAAGTGCCTAATCTACATCCCTCTGTTGGCAGAAGGGTGTAGTTTAGACACACCCAGTAGTAAATGCTAAAAACACAAAAGAGAAAATAGGAAAAGATAAGTCTTATGTTGCACCCCTTTCTTACACCTAATTTTGTATGTTTATATACCACCACAGGTATTCTGTTGCTCTACAGACATATGAAGATAATTCTTTGCCCAAGAGAGTTCACATTTTATTTTGAATGCATTAGATTATCTTATCCTGAGACATAGTTTTCTTTTGGAAAACTTGAAGGGCCAGAGTAATTTTGTAGTTGAAAGATGACTTGCTAATTACAATTGGGTCTTCTAAATTGGGTTCAAAGATTCAAAATATAAAACTTGCCTCTATTTTCAACTTCATTTATAGTAATAGAACTGTGGCCTTTTCATATTTAAGAATGTGACTAGATTTGTTTAAATCACTATGTGATCTGCCCTTCCATCCCTTGCCATGCAAATTTCAGGTAAATTGGCTTCTTTTTGCCTAAGTGATCAAAGATGCTCTCAGTGAGAACCCAAGATAGTTTGAGGTTAGTCTGATAGAGTATGTGGGAGACATGAGTTCAGAATAAAGGGCTGTTCAGTATTTTAGATGTTTTGTAGAAGTATTTTCCAATTTATCTCACAACTGTCAAGCCAGTTGTATGTGAGGGGAGAAGGGTTGTGAATATGGGGGAAAGGCTAAAGGACCATTGACTTAAACTTTTTTGTTTTTGTTTTTAGAAATTAGGTACTTTTTTATATTTTGAGTTAAGTTTATTACAACATGGAATTTGAGGTCTGAAATAATATGAATGATATTCTGAAATCCACAGCTTTTTCCTAAATTCTATAGTCAAGTCATGAAAGTATATGTGATTTCAGACACCTGTTGCTGAAGACTCTCTCCATAAAAGCTTTCTAAGAACAACTACCTTAAAACATCAAGAGGAGTTAAAATGTCATAGAACTACAGTAAGGATGCCTTTTTCCTTGTCAGTCCCAGTTGCTCTGTTGAATTAACTGATGGGATTTCTATGGTTCCTCCTTTCTTTTTTTCCCTCTTTTAGAAACCTTAATTTAGGATTTCCTAGCTATTTAGTGCGTCTGTAAAGGATTAGAATGTCGTAGGAATTAGTTTTTAATATATGAAGCCAATTGTTATATCAGTAACTATAGAATTTCAAGGCCAGTCACTAACAATTTTTTTTTTGTAGAGAAATTAAAAGGAAAGGATTAGTGCAAGACTCTTGATAGGTGAGCAGTCATCTTGCTAGTCTTTTACTATATATTAATTTGATGTGGTTTTTTTATCTTTTCTACATGCAGTGCTTAGACTTCATTATCCAGAAATGCCATTATCTCTCAATATATTTTAGAGCGTGTCAGTGTGTGTCGGTGAGTCGGTTTGTTCAAGACCTCCTCCTAAATGGTAAGAGCTAGGGCCACCACATTTGGTATTCAGCTTCCTCTTTTCCAAACTTAAAGCAAGGTCAGGGTTTGGTTGTGCCAGGACAACTGGAAGCCTTGGGAAAAGGACTGTTTACCATAACATTGTAAAAGGAAGGGCTGTTTGGAGGGACGCAATATGAAATTGGCCACTGGAGGCAGCTATACTTCAGAGTCTACTGGGTGGCAGCTGTACCACAGTGTACACAGTGATTGGTCAAGCTCTCTTGCTTGCCAGTGCTCTAAGTAGGTCCCCCCCATCCCAACCCCATTTCTCACCTCCCCCAACCCTTGGTCACAGTGCTGGGAGGTGGGGGAGAGGGAGGAGAAGTCTCTCCCCTGCACTCCAGGGGCCTTTCAAGGGCTATACTGAATGGGACTCCCGCCCTGAGCCTCTCTTCAACTTTCAACCCTCATTCTTGTGCCCCACCCCACCCCCAAGGCCCTGTCCTGACTCCTACACCCCCTCACACTACCAGCCCCCTGCTCTGAAGGACCCAGGCAATGCCTGTAAGTCTGCTAGTGGATAGATAAGCAATTTATTTTAAACCTAGAATTTCCTGGAATGGTGGTTTAACATAGTCAAGCATCTATAGCCACAATAGAAGTGCCAAAGTTCATTGAGCTGATCCTGACTTACTGGAGATAAAATAGCATACTGTTTGATTATAATTGAACATAATGAATTACCAAATAAAAATGACTTTTAAGTATATTCATAGCAAAGAGCAAACATCACCTCATTGTCTAGTGATGTATTTTATAAATTTTATGCAATACTATTAAAATGCTTTTTTTGGAAAGCATTTTCAAAAGGTATGTAAGTACAAATGCAGTTCTTTTGAACAGACATTTTAGAATAGAATTATATATATACATATATATATATGAATTTTATAAAACAGTTTCCTGTCTGCCTAACATTTTAAAGGAGATCTTTTTTAAATGAAAAGGTACTATAAGGTACTATGGGTGAATGGAATAGCTTGTGAATTTTGAATCCACTGGTTTTGCCAGATTTAGGTATCTCCGTTGGTAGTCATATAATAAGTTATTTGGTGGCTGAAAGAGCTTCACAAATTTGAAACTTAAAACTGTGTACTACATTCAATTACACTCTTCAGAATTCAGGCTATCACTATATTTAGATTACTAGTGTACTTCTTTGCATGTGTAAGTTTCTTAAATGAGGTAACTGGTATCCATTAGTTTTGTAGTACACTATGTAATTATTGAATTCAATGGTGGAACTGGAATTCAGCCAAGGGTACCCATGAGTACGTTATGGTCTAATTCAAGTAATTAACCTACCTATACTAGTTGCTTACATGACTCATCATGCCATGGTAGAATTGTCATATTTGCAATGCCCTCAAATTTTCTGCTGAGCTCTGAAGTTACTAATTTTACTGTAATGTAGAAGTTTCTATGGAACTTTAATACAGGTTGGACCTCCCTGGTCCAGCACCCTTGGGACTTGACCTGTCCTGAACAAGGAAATATGCTGGATATGGGAAGGTTCCCTGCCACTGGCCCCACAGCCCGCCACTTCTCCCTGCCTCCCCTCCCCTCCCCACCACTGGTTCTGCTTCTGGCTGTGGTTGGCCCACTGCTTCTAGGTGGCTGTGCTGCCAGCCCTGGCTGGGCTTTCTGGACACTGTTTTCCCCCATCCTCCTCCCACAGCTAAGGAGCTCCTGGCTGTACCATAAGGCACCCTTCCACGCCACTGCCCCACCCACCACAGGGCTCCTGACACTCCCTCCCCTCCCCCCCTCCCTCCCCCGCTGGACCAGAGTGTCCTGTTTAGTGAGATAAAACAGAAGAAGTGGCTGAGGAGTTTCGTAATACTGCAGTCTTTCATCTCCAAGTCATGGGCATAAATGTGGAAAGGATAGTAGTGACCAAAGCTAGCTGTCAAACACGTTCATTGGCCTCTGTGGAACCAGATGATTTTAGTAGAGCTCTCTCTCACAATTGCCACTATATTTATTGTTCTTAGCAGAGAGACTGAAGAGTGCATTGACTTAGTTAATTATTCTCGAGCCAAAAGATGGTAGTTGAAGATTGGGGAGTGGAGGTTCATTGGCAGGGCATTGTAGGGAAGCTTACAATGCTGATGCCTGCAACTAAATATGCTCTCCAACTCATTTATGAAGTGCTATTTGAAAAAATGAAATGTTAAATGTTCCTTGTCTTCCCCATACCCCCTTACCAATATCTGTCACAATAGTTGCATTTAATGTTTTCCATTGTGTCCAGGTTTTAGTCAGTGAAGTTTTGAGAGAGAAATAAGGTGAATTTATGTCTAAATGAACACTTGATGGCAGGCCCAGCCTTTGGGCAAGGTGAGCGAGTTGGTCACCTTGGGCCCTGTGCATTCAGGACCCTGCAGCTCCACGCATTCAAGGCCCTGCGCTGCCCAGCTCCTGGCCCCGCCCAACCAGCCGGGAGCTGCATGGCCGTGTGCCTCAGCGTGCTGCCTTTGGCTCCTCACACTCTTTGGCTGGGCCTGCTTGATGGCAATAGAATTGCACTAACCGTCTAGCTATCTTGTGGTATATATGTATGTCTCTCCATCCTTTTTGCTCTAACAAACTACTCAGTTCCTGAGAACAGTTAAGATGTTGAACTTTTAGTTTACACTAAACTTTTGCTAACATAGCCGTGATGTGCGATAAACGTAGCAGTACTGGCAAATGCCTGTAGTTTAGTTCAGGGGTTCTCAAACTTCATTTCACCATGCCCTCTTTCTGACAAAAATTACTTCATGGCCCCAAGTGGGGGGACTGATGTCACCCAAGCCCCATTGCCTTAGGTGAAGGGGCCAAAGCTTGAGGCAGAGGGGCCAAAGCTGAAGCTCAAGGGCTTCTGTCCAAGGTGGAGGATGAGCCTGTAACTTGGGCAGTAAGCATTGGTGGTTGGTAATGTACACAGGGGAAGGCAAAAACTGCCTACACGCCGGACCACCTAAGGCTGGGGCCGCCAGCGGGAAAGGCTGGGGCTGCAGTGCAGCAGCTCGGCTTGCCCTGCCCACCAGGGAAGGCTGGGTCCATGGCCCCAGAGGCTCTCCATTTGGTTAGGAAGGATCAGGCTGGAGGTAGGTGGGGCTTGGCTCCAGGGGCAGGGGTTTGGGCAGAAGGGGAAAGGCTGGGACTTACCTTCCCCAGCTGGGCTTTCACCTGTCGCCCATGGCAGTGGGCTTGGGCTTCAGCAATTCTAAACCAGCCTTGATGACCCCATTGAACCCAGAGTTTGAGAACTGCTGATTTAATTGCAGATACACTGGCCGAGATGCTTCCACTTTAGTAGCAAGGGCGATTATAATAGGGTAGCTATACTGGCAAAACCTTCCAAGTTGACCTGGCCTTACAGAAAGTGAAGCAGAATTTCTATGGAATTACATACCTTGCCCGTTTATAGTTCTGAATGCAGAAGATGGCATGACGTGCTTTTGCTAACAAAAGGAGAGAGAGAAAACTAGGTGTTAATGGTAATTTTTTTATCTGATAATTTAAAACTTTTTCAAGCTCCAGTCCTTATTTTGGAGAATAGGGTTTTGTCTTCCAAGGATGAGAAGATCATTTTACATTAATTAACTTGAGCCTGTTGCTAATAATTTTGACTTTTTTGTATACCCTCTCCTTCATTTATTTCTATTGTGATTAAAGAGGTGCAGATAAGTATATTTTACTAAATTTAAACAAAAATAACCTTGATTTGGTCACTTTTAAACTTCTGTATCTAGCTGTACTTAGTTGTTAGCAGCAATTAATGGCTCATGAGAGGAAGGGTGTGGAGGAAATGTGATACAGCTTGACAAATGGACTGTAACCCTTTTAGACTAAACCTGCTAGGACGTATGCATACTCAAGGCCACATGCTGCTTAAATTTTTATATATAATATATATATATGAAAGGAAGAGCAGCTGGTATATGTAGCTAACATAAGGTAGTTTGTGGAGCTGAGTAATAAAAGTTTTCTAGTTTTGAACCCTTAGGCTTCTGGAAAACTGCTTAGCAACTAAAGTTACAACCTGAATTAAAATAGTGCTTTGAATCTGTGAGGGGGAAATGAACTCAGACTAGGATTTTAAAATTAGTTTAAGAAAAACAATTATTTGATTAAATTACATATACTTTATAAAGCCTCTTTTTGGAGAAAACTATACATGGTGGAAAGTACAATTAAATAATCTTATACATGTTTAAAAACATAGGACAAATTTGTGTATTTTTCATTTGGAAAAAAATGAGTTACAAGGCTTGTATAAGAGGAGGGTTATTGTTTGGTTTTTTTAGTCAGAACTAGAGAACCTAAAATCACCATTTTCTGACAATTTGATTTCTTCAGTATCATACTAATAAAATTGACTTTATCTGACTACTGCCATTTTCTATTTTTGGCTAGCATTTTGTCACTGCTATATGATATAGACTTATGGATGTGCATAGTATGTCCTCATTCATTTGTGGTGCTTTGGAGGTAACAGGACTACCTTTTAAGGCATAATGCTGGCAGTACGTTATTGCAAGGTTAAAGGAAGCCATCACTGTTAACACAGGTTATATAAATGTCTTAAATATTTAATTAAAATAAAATTTAAACATTGCCAAGAAGCTTCAGCCCTGACTCATCTCTTGGCAACTGCCATTGTGAGGGTCAGGGAACAAAGCAGGATGCATGTCTCTATTCTGGGGTGTTGCTAGAACAGTGCAGGCAGAGGGAGCCACCTTCCCAGCAGAGTACAGGCCATACATTTCACAGTTGTGCCCCAACCCTGGAGAAGGGTAGGGGCACAAGATAAGATACCAGGTGTATAGGGTATTGTGGCCAGAGACTCCGTCCTCCCATTTGTTCTTTCCTGTGTAGTCTGAGCAATGGAAACTTACCAATGACGTTGGATGCTTGCTTTAAGCTATGTTGCTCTATAGAATCAATTGTGTTCATCCTTATGAATATGTAACCTGTCAATGTATGAAG